AGGGACTTCCAGCAGTCAGTAGATGTATAGGCCTACCCCATCCATTAGCCCAACGCTCTCTGCTCCTGTCCTTCTAAATGAGGTGTAGCTTGTCAAGTGTGTCTGACATGTTGAGGACATTAAATCAATTGTAATCACTCAAGGAGAACTAAAGGAGAACATATAGTGCACAGTGGGAGGCATATAAACTTCAGGCATGCAATGGGAGTCTTCCATGTGCAAAATCAAACTGTGGTTTATATCTAGGGTTTCAACAGCTCAGCTTTGCAGAGCAAAATGTTTACCCTCATATGTTTTTTTTTTTACAGAATTTATTGCAGACTTGTGGAAAAATATCTAGTAATTGCACAGCGAGCTGTTTTCTCCTGCCCAGGACTATTGCTTGAAATGGTTTGGTCCATCTAGTAAGCTTGTTTTTGGAGTGTAGGTTCATGTAGCTGGTATTCTTTGCCACTGGAACCATAACATGTCAAAACAGCTCAGACCTCCAACCAAGCAAATTAATGCACTCCAGTCATGTTTACTCCATTCTGGAATGCTTCAGCCGGAGACATGTCCACCCCGACCGATTAGAAGCAAAACTCTTTTTTTAATATTTAATTTGTTTTTTCTTTTCTGCTGCATTCTGTTGACCTCAGAAATCTGTAACACAACTCAGAAACATCATAGTTTTTAGATAAGAACACTGGTTTTGTTAAGAGATTACCGACCTTAGATCAGCTTTATAACATGGTAAGGTGTCTAAGAGGTTTTGAAATAGATCATGGTTCACCGAGCATGCCCATTAACCCAATACAGGAACTGAACAGAGGATTGTCTACATTAGCAGCTGTAAAGGACTTGCTGATCAAAGAATGTGAGATTCTGTGTAGACATGTCGACCCCAACATGGAGACTGCTAGAGCAGACAGTAGTAGATTATTTGCTCATATTCAAGCCAAAACTCAAATGTAACATTACAAAAAAACTAGAAGTTAATTATTAAAATTTTTGCTGACCAGCTGTGTCTAAAATCCTCCCCTTTCCCATTACTCACTGTTCCCTATATAGGGGGTGTCATATAGTTCACTATAAATGGGAAAGGAGTGAATGAAAACAAGTGATCGATTTCAGACACTGATGCAAATATTGTGTGCCAGAGAGGGCTGTAAGGCAAGGCAAGGCAAGTTTATTTATATAGCACATTTCATACACAATGGTAATTCAAAGTGCTTTACATAAAATGAAGTAAAATAATCATAAAAAATCACAACAATAAAAAAGGGAACTTAAAACTTTTTAAATGATTTAGAAATTGATTTAAAATGAATTTAAAACAGTTAAAAATAGAAAATGATTATACATAAAATACAGTGCAATCAGTTCGGACGTAGCACAGTGCTCATTCAGTAAATGCACAGCTAAACAGATGAGTTTTGAGTCTGCATTTAAATGTGACTAATGTTTTAGCACAACTGATCTCTTATGGAAGCTGATTCCAACTGCGGGCGGCATAATAGTTAAAAGCAACTCCCCTTGTTTTGTGTGAACCCTTGGTATTTCTAACTGACAGAATTTCGATCCTAATGATTTGAGTGGTCTGTTAGGTTTATATTCAGTGAGCATATCTGCAATGTATTTGGGTCCTAGGCCATTGAGTGATTTATAAATGAGTAAAAGTACTTTAAAATCAATCCTAAATGTAACTGGAAGCCAGTGTAAGGACCTGAGGACTGGTGTGATATGCTCAGATTTTCTGGTTCTAGTCAGAATTCTGACAGCAGCGTTCTGGATGAGCTGCAGCTGTCTAATGGTCTTCTTGGGAAGGCCGGTGAGGAGACCATTACAATAGTCCACCCTGCTGGTGATGCTGTAGAGCATAATACATTATGGATACTCTCTAGCCGTTGTGTACATACAGTAGGTTGTACACTTCTTGTTGCAGTGCATTATGGGATTGAATGAGCGCACTAGATAATCTCCACTATGGTTTCGGACAAAACTACAATTTGTTCCTTCAGAAATCAATATGCTGATTTGGTGCTCAAATAACAGCACTTATGTGAAATAGATTTTTTTTTTGTAACAACCTAAAGGTCTTTACTATCACTTTTGATCAATTACTGTATATATGCATCCTTGCCTTGCTGAATAAAACATCTTACTGACCCAAAAATGTTGAACAGTTCTGTCAAAAGTCTCTGGACTTTCGCTTATCACTGACAGAGACTCACAGGCTGCTGTGGCTCCTCTTCTGATCCCTAAAAATATACACTGTACTGTATATTCATGCTAAGCCAGACTGCAAACATTACAGTGTGGCATGTTCAAAGATGTCTTTATGGCGAAGCAGGATTAACTGCTGCTGTACTATATTAATCATACTTGTGTAAAAACATACCCACATTTAGACATACATAAAACACACAGCTGATCTCAACTGGATAGCATAAGGTCTGGTCTACACTGCAGCTTATTCTGCCTGTGAACTGCTTGTCTAGACAGCAAAAGCTGTCTGACTGACATATAAAGTGACTAGCCACTGTCTGTTTTATTTTTATATGCTATAGTCTTAAAAATAAAGGTTCTTTATTGGCAATAATGGTTCCATGAAGAACCTTTAACATCCATGTAAACTTTCCATTGCACAAAAGCTTCTTCATTGCGCTAAGGCTTTTTTTTAGATTATTAAAACGCTCTTCACACTAAGATTCATTAAATACCTTTTTGCAGAAAGGTTATTTGGGGAACCCAAAATGTTTCTTCACATTGCTACTGAAACCTTTATGAGTATATTTAGGGTATTTAGGCCAGGCATTTTTTTACTACATGAAAACAACACAGTAATCTCTACTAACAATTGTAGAAAACACCAAAAATAGCTGAAAATGTGTACACTTTGTGATTCCGCTGGTTCAAAGTGCTTGTTATATCAGCCTGGTACCTTGTAAACACAACTTTGGTTCCAGGCGGTCTGGTTAAAAACAAAAAACAAACCTGTGTTCTTACTCCCAGAAGTTGTGTAAAGTCAGTCATCACATCAAAGCTTTGTAGACCAAGAAAATACTTTCCTGCAACATGCATCAGATGGTCAGCGAACAGAGGTTGAGCATAAGACTATGTTACAGGTGACCCTCAGTCGTTACAAATGGTTTTAGGCTGCCAAAAAGCCTAAACTCAAGTGACTATTGAATATGTACACTAATAAATAAAGGAACAATGCAGATTGAGTTGAGAAAATTTGTCCCAAGGAGTGAAACAAACAGCCGTATACCCATAATGTTGTGATTGCCTGAATTACTTGTAAACGTTGTTTTGTCACAAACTACCTTTTTAACTGAGCTAATTAGATTAGCCACTAATGTGAGCGATTAACCACTACTGCTTTGATGGGGGACAAGATGTGTGTGTTTGTGTAAAAAAATAAAGTGGGTTTATAATGCGTGGGTTTATAATGCGTAGGAGTGATTAAAGTAGTGTGTAATTATGTGGGTGCAAACACAGTATATGTGGTTGCTAATAACCATGTCAAATTTCACATCTCAATGCATCAGTAGCTGTTTATTTTCTCCTGTTTCTGTGATCTCCGACAGTTGTCTACCCTACTTTAATAATGTGCAGTCATGTTTGTGTACCATGACCACCTCTGACTCCTATCTAAACCCCTTAAGCCTTCAGTGTCTTTGAGCTGCCGTCCCATAAATGCACACAATCACACCCTGTTTTAGCCCATGGGTCAACTCCCATAAGGCCCAACCACAGTGACATCACTGTGGTGACAACCAGTAGCATCTGTATATTTGTGTCTGGGTCTGTGTGTGTTAGAGAGAGAGGAAGACGGTGAAAAGCACCAATGCTTTGGAGATTCCAGATTTGAGGTGTGTGCTTGTATCTGTGTGTGTAATTGGAAGTCAGGCTCCAGGCTTTGTAATTATTGTTCCTGTCTGAGATGCTTGAACTGCAGCCAATTAGACAATAAAGAGAGAAGCTGCTCTGTTTTCTACCAGTCCTTGAGTTGGCCTTGTACATTAACTTTCACAACCTGCTCCTCTCTTTCTGTCTGAAGCAATAAGACAGTAAATTGTGCTCCACTTAGAGTGCACTTAGAGAATTTCTCTGTTCCTCAACCAAGCCTCTTAATTACATGTTTAGACATAAAAAGTCCTGTAAACAAATGTTCATGCACGTAAGTGTAAAATAGCCGTGTTTGCCAAAGAGACTGTGTGTTCCAGAGAGAAAGATGTCGTTATTTTTGAAGCATCATTACAATAGGTTATTTTTGGTTATACAAGGTGCTGGTTAAGGAATAGGAAAAATAATAATCTACTTTTCTACTGACCTTAAACCATACTCTACTATTCCACTGCAAAATTTTGTTCAGTACAACTGCTTGTTTTTTTGCAGGAGTAACACATTATGATTCCTGTGATCACATGAGTCAAAATGACAAATGCATATCATAAAAGTATCACAAAAATGGTCCTTGCACCTTGTGTATTATGTTCTTCTGAAGCCATACAACGGCTTTCTATGAGGAACAGACTGAAAGTCGTTTTATGCTAAACATCCATCCAGCCAAGTTCTCCTTGGGCCGTTCATGAGTATGAACAAATCTTTATTTTGGATCGGATCTTTTTAAATGAACCTGTTTATCAAGTTCACATATCAGTCTGCACGATTGGTTCACGCATCGGACTGACCCGATTCTCGAGTTCAACTTACTTAGTCAACGAGAAATTTTGTTTCCCTAGTTCTTATCACAAAGAAATCCTTTAATATTTGTAAGCATTTGTAACTTACTCGTGAAATTATGAAAGTGTTGTCTGAATAAACGAAGTGTATGTTACCCATACTGAATCAAAGTAAAGTGAACATCAACATAGGCCTATAGCATGTAATATAGCATGCAATACTTCGATTTATATGTGTTTTACTTTATTGGTGAATTAAATTACCATCCCTGCCTGTACTTTAGGGTATTTCAAAATAAATGTATTTCATTTACTATTTTTAACTCGCAGCAAATTCTGAGGCACTCGCGTGAGAACGCCACGAAGGTGATCTTCCTCATCACTGACGGTTACTCAAACGGCGGAGACCCGCGGCCTGTGGCGGCAGCGCTGAGGGAAAGAGACGTGGAGATTTTCACGCTGGGCATCTGGCAGGGAAACATCCGCGAGCTACACGACATGGCCTCGCACCCCAAGGATCAGCACTGCTACCTAGTGCACAACTTTGCTGAGTTTGAAGCACTAGCTCGACGCGCTCTTCACGAAGGTTTGGATTCAGAATATGAGCCTTTCATACTTAAAATTGTTAGGATTGGGTCATAATTAGTCTTTGTTAAACTAATACTGGGTTATCTTGTTTCATGATTCACATCGTTTACATTTCCCTCTTGGTTCATAGTTAATCCTGAGTACAGTGAGCAGCAGTGTTGCCAATTTAGCAATTTTGTTGCTAAATTTAGCAACTTTTCAGACTACCTTAGCAACTTTTTCTTCCAAAAGCACCTAGCAACAAATGTAGCTATTTTTAAATTTTATTTGGCTACTTTTAGCAACTTTTGATAAGTGTCTCAAACAATAAAAAGGCACACGTTTTCCATCTAAATTTCACAAAAAGAGGAAACCAAAGATGCCTAGCAGTACACACATCACGTGAATTAAGTTACTGCTATTTGCAATTGTTCAATTTGATAATAATAATAATAATTTAATAATTGTTCATTTATGATACACCTCGTTAGTAGCTTGTAGGTCTACCTGTGATTGTTGATCAGTTAGTACACTGTAAGAAAAATATCTAGAAAAATGGAAAAGGTACTAGTAATTTTCCAGGACATTATCCGTTATCCATCATCTGTTGTAACCCGAAACACAAAATACAATGCGTAATTTAAAATGCAGGTAAAAACCTGTGAATTATTTTCTTAGAGTGTAGCATACTGACTACTAATACACTACTTAAAACTATAATTGTTCAGAATGTGTAGTTTTACTAGTTTACTAGCTAATAAAAAAAACTTGTAATCGTTCAAAAATGTGTAAGTGTTCAATAATTCAATGTTGTATCTGAAAATTAGTTGGCAACACTGGTGAGCAGTGTTGCCAGATTGGATGGACGATTTCCAGCCCAAAAGCTCACAAAAACCCGGCCAAAACTTTAACTGTCAAAATAATGTTATAGAATATGTAAATCAAGGTTGATAAGGGCCATTTTAACTCCTTAAAACAAAATATTGACGACAAAATAATATAAATTATAAATAAGATCAATTTCGCATGTAAACGGATCAAATCGGGGTGAATAGCCTACATTAAAGAGAATTAGGCTACCGAACATGAATAAAATATGCAAGCAGACACTGCCAAAATGGCAATCATGAAATTAACCGATACCCTCAAAACATCACATGCATGATTTTCAATGGCAGCAGTCAGAATAATCCAGTTTAAATGCAAAAAGTGCCCAATATAAGTGATAGGAAAAAGCAACGTAATTAGCA